TGGCTTATCGAGTTTTTGTAAGCTTAGCTAAACATTTTAGCCATACAACTTTCCAACCATGATGTTTCAAGTTTGAAACTTTGATCAACTACTTGAATCTATATTCATAGTTGAAAGCGCCAATCAATTGAAGCTAGACCACCATGGAAAACCTGGAAGCACTGAACGGCCGTATCGTCCTATTATGGGACTCCTCAGCAGTGCGCATCCACGATCCCTCACTCACGAGATTGGAACCCAGGACCTACCAGTCTCGCGCCAGAGCACTTAACTTTAATCTAGCTAATTGAGTCCTAAGAAAATTTAGACGTTCGCTTTAACATACAATAAGTACTAGTAAAAATTTAATGCATAAACTGGTATTTGTTTGCTGAATTACATTTTCCATGTACTTATCATTTGGACTTGAATGATAAGGCAAATCTAAATGGAAAATTTACTGGAAAAGTTTTGCTTGATAAATTATAATTTAAACTTTTTTATGACAATAAAAGTAAAGATTTATCATTCGATTATGAAAATAAAATATAAATTAAGATTGACAAGTATTAGAAAAGAATAAATAAAGTAACTAAGTCCATTAAGTAACTATTATTTATATCACAAACAAACAAACAAGCATGCAAACAAACAGGTCAGTAAATAAATAAAGGGAATTATTTCCATACGCCCAAATAATTTGATGAAATTGTCTGAAATTACAAAGATAGATAAGAACCACTCTTATTAAAAAAATATTGGAAGAATAATGTTGCCTAGACAATGCTGAATGACTTGATAACAATAATAATAATAATAATATAATATTTCACTTCACTTTGATTGATTATAAAATGGTACAACAAAGATGTTCCTTTTCATTTGAGGAAAGAAGGAAACATTACTAACATTAACAACTGGCTTTTTCACTTTCTCTACATTACAACAACTTGACAAGTACATTCAAAGAAATTCCTTTTTAAATTACAGTACAAAAATAAATGCTTATTTCTTACTTTAATAAAAGGAACACAAATTATTATTTGTAAAAAGAAAAAGAGATAAAATCATGGATCATAATGTGATTGTCAATTTACCTATACGTATAACTGTTATCATAGAAGGTCTACTTGGTACAATATTCAATATTGCAGCGATAATAATTGTTTTCAAAACTCAATTCGGCTCTAAATTAACTACATGTATGCTGAGAGCTCAACCAATATTTGATTTTTTTGCTTGTTTATTCACAGCTATCTATTATATAACTCAATGTACTGACCGTTATAATAAACTGACAGGATTATACATAATTGATATATTAATATGTCATACATGGTTTAGAAATGCTTACTTTTGGTTATCATGTACATTTAGTGTACAAAATTTAGTTTGTATATCAGTGGATCGAGTGAGCTCTGTTATATTCCCTACGTTATATAAAACCCATTCATGTCAATTTACGGTTACATACTTCGCTTATATGATTTTAATGTCATTATTTCTGTATATGCCAGCGCCGATACTTCGTCGTTATATGATTGATCATTGTGAAATGGATTTTTCGTTCCAATGGATTGCAATAAGTGAATTTCTTGATTTCATGGTATATTCATGGATTATATTTGCTTATTTTATACCAGTTCTAGTGATGTTAATCAGTCATATATGGGTAATACAAATTATTAGAAAATTTCATTCATCTCGCCATACTTGTACATCACAAAGTAATCAGTCAGCTTTACATATTAGACGTAAAATAAGTCAGTTAGTTATAACAACAGCAATTTTATCCGGTCAACTTGCTTTACTGCATTCATATGAAGCTATACGTCAAATATTAATTGCAAATAAAATTATGACTTACGATTATCAATCAATAACTGGACATTTAGGTCCTATATTAATATTATTAGGTTGTGTTTTAAATCCATGTGTACTTATACTTACTACAGCTACTTTAAGAAGACGTTTATCAATATCAATAAAAAAATTTTCAGAAAAAATTAGTATTACTGGAAAAAAGGATAAAGCTTCAAATTGATCAATTCAATAAATATTGATTTATCGGCATGTTTATAATTGATCTTTATTAATTTTATAGATAATAATATCAATACCGATGTATATAATTTCCATCATTATTAACAACAATGGAAGCATATGTCTTTTTTCTCCTATTAATATCCATTCGTTAATTTATCACTATACTGATGCAACCTGGGATTTTGAATTTTCTGACTTTGAGTTTGTACAAATTCCTAACCAATTTACATAGATACATTTATATCTCAACTTTTTCCATAAATCTAACCTGATATATATATATATATATATATATATATATATATATTGTAAGGGCTATCGAATTTGTTTATCAGAATTGATTAAGAAAATAAACAACTAATGTGAAAATATCATTTTTAATCAAAGAACTGAATATTTGTCTTATAAGATAGCAACAAGAATGATTGTTACTCAATGATCAATGTCGTATCTTGATAAGAAAAACAAAATATCTGACTGGAAACCTTAAATACTGATTATACGTATATATTTATATGTGACTTTTAAGTGTTTCATTATATTGATATCTATGTTAATTCAGTGTGTTGAGCGAATCTTTATTTTGTTACATTTTTTCTTCTTTCATGTGAATTTATTTATTGATTTTGGAAATACCTTCATTTAAGAATACATTATACTCGTATGTTTTCATAGATCATCAGGAAAATGATCATAAATATGTCAGTAATTCAACGTCCAACCATTAAAAAAAATTATTCATCTTTCAAACAAGAAGTCTTAACATCGATTTCTCTCCATTCACATCAGTTTGAATAGCCAAAACATATACATTATTTTTTCAAACAAATACATTTATACTTGGTAAATGAGTTATTTCATATTTGTTATACGATTTTTGACAATCCAATTGTTGTAATTCTTAAGTTTTATCCTCTCCATGACAGGTAATTCTGTCCTGTAGGTAGACAAATTTATGTTCTTCGCCATTACTATTATATTTAATTACATTGTAGCAAGTTATCAGAAAAAAGTTTAGATTAGGGCGTGTAGCAGTGATGAGATTTAGCTCATTAGTTATTATGTTTTTTTTAAACAAAGAGATTTGAAAAAGTATTAAATATTTGGCATGGCAACGCGATTTGCTGATACTTTATTTTTGAAATTATTCTCATGTTACTTGATATTGTTAAGTAGTTATTCTTGTATATTATTTATATAGTAGATTTCATTTAAGTTCTGGAGCTATGATTTTGATAATTTAGTTAGTCAGTTGTTAAGAGTTGATAGTTGATACGTTTCTGTTTTCATAATCCATACTTTTTATGTATTTTTTCTAGACCTATTATAAAATAGAAACTTATATAGGGATTATTGAATATTTATTGAACTAAGATATTTCGGATAATTGAATAAACAAATAAATTTATAACCATCTTATCTATTAAAATGAATGTTATTAAAACTTCTTTGTTGATATCAAACTATTAGAGATTCTGTTTTAATTGTTATGTCTAGTGGTCGCTAATTGTTCTGTCGGAATCGCTTATTATGTATACTAGTCGAACAAGGGACCACTACAATTCCCACTATGTGAAGTAAGAATACCAAGACTGTCACAAATGAAGATTTATTAACCCCAAAACACGATGACGACCCTAGTCGAAAGTACACTCATGATATATTGATTTGTACACCCATTTTGATTAATAATTAGGATAAAATCATATAGATGAAAAGTACCCAGAGTTATAGCAAATTACATGATGCATGTCATGATGAGTATAGTTTATCAATAATTGCTATATTTCCACTTTTATTTCAAGCAGAACCCACTGGTAAGATGTAGAATGCTAGAGGCTTTGTGGAGAATGATAGAATCAAATTGATTTGAGTAACTTATCTACACTTATTTTCTGATATCAAGTAAATGAATGCAATTTATTCAGAAATACAGTCTCTAAGTTTACTACTCAGACGTTCGCTCTGTTTCACTCTAAGTACTCTAAATAATGTAAACGAGTTTTGTAATGCAGCGGAATAGTACCAGGTCTGTACATATGTCATTGCAAATCAGTTTCAAGAAAGGATACAGTTGCAAAAAAATAAAGCTCAACAACCTAATGTTGTTACTAAGATACTAATAATGATTCAATTTATGATATACATATGTCTACTTATTACCATTAAAACTCTCAATCCATCATTTAAAGGGAATAATTAAGAATAAAAACTTAAATGTATGCTATTGATGTGAAGATAGAGTTTCATTTAGATCAGTAGATTAACTACATCATAGTCTCATGTATTAAAGCATTCTATTTTTCATGGAAATTAATTTCTAGACCTGCATATAATTATTGAGGGCTTTGTTACTTACTACTAAATTGTAATGAAGAAAAAGTTAATTAATGGTAAGCAGAGATGGATAGTGGCTAGCAGTGGAATCCAGTTTGAAGTGTATTTCGTCCTATTTGGGACTCCTCAGCTGGATGTACCTGCATCTCAGAGTTGATGTTCACTCTGGGACTCGAACCCAGTACCTTCGCTTCAAACGCCATTGCGTTATCCACTCGGCCACTGAGTCCTGATAGCCATTTGCTTGTGCGATGGGGTGAAGTTTAAACTCATTCAGTATTTTTTGTTTGAATCTTCCCATCGATGTGTTAGGACTGCAACTGGTCAGTCTCTAATTGGCATATGTGCATACTGTGCGTATTGCTTCAATATGCACATATGCCAATTAGAGACTGACCAGTTGCAGTCCTAACAAATCGATGGGAAGATTCAAACAAACAATACTGAATAAATTTAAAATTAATTAATGTTCATGCTTACTTTACAAATGACTTAGAGTATAAATATTTTCTTCCCTAAAAATATTCAATGACCCATTTTAACCAAGATTTGATTGGCTGTATATATATATATATATATATATATATATATGCAATTTCCAGAAATCCTATTTTAAACTTCATTTCACAGTAAATCAAAAGAAGAGAACTGCATAATGAATGAAACTGTTTACGTTACATTACCTATCCGGATTATTGTTATAATTGAAGGAATAATTGGTACAATATTCAATATGGTTGCGATAGTTGTAATTTTTAAAGTGACCATAGGTTCTAAATTCACTTCATTCTTACTAAGAACTCAATCTTTACTTGACTTCAGTGCATGTTTCTCAGCAGCTATTTATTATATAATTCAATCCACCAATATATATAACAAACATACTGGCTTATACATAATCGACATCCTAATATGTCATTTATGGTTTCGAAATGCGTCTTTCTGGTTATTTTGTATCATGAGTGTGCAAAATCTAGTTTGTATATCATTGGATCGAGTGAGTTCTGTTCTATTTCTTAGATCACTTAAAGCATATACGAATAGATTCTTCGTACTTTATTTTCTTTACATGCTCAGTATGTTTTTAATTTTGTACATACCTACACCACTTCTTCGTCGTTATACTGATAGCCAATGTGTTATGGATTTTTCATTCCCCTGGATTCAAACAAGAGCATTTCTTGATTACATTGTATACTCCTGGATTGTGTTGGAGTACTTTGTGCCAGTTTTAGTTATGTTGATCAGTCATGCATGGGTCATATTTATTATTAGAAAATCTCAGTCATCTCGTCTTAGTGATGCATCACAAAATGAGGAGTCTAGTTTACAAATTAAACGTACAGTGATTCAGTTAGTGATTACAACAGCAATAATGTCTTGTCAACAAGCTATATTACACTCATTTGAATGCATAAGTCAAATATTAATCATATGTGAAGTTGTAGTTTACATTTATGGTACTCCGATTGAACAAATGGGTACAATACTTATATTGTTTGGATGTTCTTCTAATCCATGTATTCTTATCTTCAGCACAACTACATTGAGAAGATATTTATTGTCACTAATTAAAGGTAAAAAACAAAACTTGTCCAGTATTGAAACATACGGGCGAACAGAATATATTCAGCACTAAGAGTATATGAACATATTAATTTTAATCATCGTTTAAATCGATAATACTTACCACATTACAATCAGTGTTGTACAGTGAGTGAACTGGATTTTCTGTTGTCCTATTATTCACGAACGTATTTTTCTGATGTCAAAACACAATCTACCCATCTATATAGTTTAATTTTCTAATAACACTGTTTGTCTATCGACTATTTTGCCTATCTGTAATCTGATTGACCTTAATAGAGCAGTAGTTGTCATTTGATATACATTTGCATGTATCTGAACTAACTGTCATATTCGCGTCTAATAATAGTTATTCCACTCAGTTGTTCCTGATATTTTCTAACAGTCATTATTTTCATTGTTTTAAATTGAATAATAAAAAAAATCTACACCATTAGTCATATTGTGGAAATGATGATTTAATGACAATTTTATTTCTTTATAACTGAACATTTCGTGGTTAGTTTTATCAAACCGATAGGACTGAATACTTACGTTACGTTGCAAGCATTTCCTTGCTGCTAGTTACTTCAAGTTTTTTACTTGCTGAGGTGGTCTATTAAAGCTTAATAACACAAAAAAGTCGTTAAAGACAGTATCAAGTGTATTTACTGTCATTTAAGTGTCAGCATTAACTTTTTTGTTGTCCTGTATCTGTCCGATGGAAAACAACCGTTATGCTGCTTTCGTCAATGCTTGTACCCCATTCAGAAAACGATGCAATATCACTAGGAATAATGTCACACAACACCACAGACTGTTTAACCGCATTGATTATTATTTTTTAATTAGAAGAAAAATGTCTAGTACTGTTGGTGAAGCTACTATAAGTAGTTATTGACACAGATATGAGTCGACCGTTCGAAATAAATAGGTTGTGAATTTTATATGAAAGTGATAACTCCGACTGTAGCACCTCTGGGGGTTACTGCCGGTCCCAAGACCGGGTAAAGGAGGAGGGTTGGGCATGGGGTTAGCGACCCCATCCCGTAGAAAATCAACTCGCTAAAAAACGCTAACCAAAAAAATCATTCAAACTCTGCCCTGGGAGTAGAAGGAATAATTATGACGTCTCATGATGAAAGCCGAGTTCCTTCGGAAGTCATGAGGCTGATGCACATTCTTACAACCAGAGCGACAATTTTTATAGGTGCATGGAATGTCCGAACTATGTGGGAGACCGGAAGAATCTTCCAAATTGCTGCAGAAATGAGAAAATACAACCTGGAGGTTCTTGGAATCAGCGAAACACATTGGACGCAGGTTGGACAACAACGACTGTTTTCAGGAGAACTTCTGTTATACTCCGGTCATGAAGAAGAAAATGCCCCACATACACAAGGAGTTGCATTGATGCTGTCCAGAAAAGCACAAAATGCACTTATAGGATGGGAATCTCATGGACCGAGGATCATCAAAGCTTCCTTCAGAACAAAGAGAGAGGGCATTACAATGAACGTCATCCAATGCTATGTGCCTACCATTGACTACGATGAAGACGCTAAAGACCAATTCTACGATAGGCTGCAGTCGATCTTCGAGAAGTGCCCAACCAAGGACCTGACCATTCTGATTGGAGATTTCAATGCTAAGGTTGGAATGAACAACACTGGATACGAAGACGTCATGGGACAACATGGACTGGGAGAAAGGAACGAAAATGGTGAGAGATTTGCAAACCTATGTCCCTTCAATAAACTGGTCATAGGTGGCACCATATTTCCACATAAAAACATACACAAAGCCACTTGGATTTCACCGGATCACACTACACAAAATCAAATCGACCATGTCTGCATCAACAAAAAGTTCAGGAGGACGATGGAGGATGTGAGAACCAGGAGAGGAGCTGATATAGCATCCGATCATCATTTGCTGGTCGCCAAGATGAAACTAAAACTCAAGAAGCACTGGACAACGGCGCGGACAACATCACAAAAGTTTAATACGGCCTTTCTTCGAGATGCTGACAAACTCAACAAATTCAACATAGTACTCAGCAACAGGTTCCAGGCCTTTTATGATCTTCTCAATGGAGAGGGGACTACCATGGAGAGCAACTGTAAAGGTATCAAGGAGTCAATCGTTTCAACATGTCAAGAGGTTCTGGGTCAAAAGAAGCACCATCACAAGGAATGGATCACTGTTGGTACACTGGATAAAATTGAAGAAAGAAGGAACAAGAAGGCAGCAATCAATATCAGCCAAACAAGAGCAGAAAAAGCCAAGGCACAAGCCGAATACACAGAGGCAAACGAGCAAGTGAAGAGGAGCATCAGAGCCATCAAACGTAAATATGTGGTAGATTTAGCAATGACAGCGGAAAAGGCTGCAAGTGAGGGAAACATGAGACAACTGTATGATACAACAAAGAAACTTGCTGGAAATTACCGTAAGCCAGAAAGACCAGTGAAAAGCAAGGAAGGCAAAGTGATCACCGACATTGGAGAACAACGAAACAGGTGGGTAGAACACTTCAAATCGACAAGCCACACTGAACCCACTCAACATCGAAGTAGCACCCACAGACCTCCCAATCGATGTTGGCCCACCAACAATTGAAGAGATCAGCATGGCCATTAGACAAATCAAGAGCGGCAAAGCAGCGGGATCAGACAACATCCCGGCAGAGGCACTGAAATCAAATGTAACAGCAACTGCCAAGATACTCCACATCCTCTTCAGTAAGATTTGGGATGAAGAACAAGTACCAACAGACTGGAAAAAAGGACTTCTGATCAAGATACCAAAGAAAGGCGATCTCAGCAAGTGCGACAACTACAGGGGCATCACTCTCCTCTCAATACCAGGAAAAGTCTTCAACAGGGTATTGTTAAACAGGATGAAGGATTCCGTGGACGCCCAACTTCGAGATCAACAAGCTGGATTTCGTAAGGATAGATCGTGCACAGATCAAATCGCAACTCTGCGGATCATTGTGGAACAATCAATCGAATGGAATTCATCACTCTACATCAACTTCATCGACTACGAGAAGGCATTTGATAGTGTGAACAGGACAACACTATGGAGGCTTCTTCGACAGTACGGGATAGCTGAGAAAATAGTAAATATCATACGGAACTCCTATAATGGACTAAACTGCCAAATCGTTTACGGAGGACAACTCACCGACTCATTCGAGGTAAAGACCGGTATCAGGCAAGGTTGCTTACTATAACCCTTTCTCCTTCTCATGGTGATCGACTGGATTATGAAGAGGTCAACATCTGGAAGGAAGCACGGGATACAGTGGACAGGCAGGATGCAGCTGAACGATCTAGACTTCGCAGATGATCTGGCTCTTCGATCGCACACGCAACAACAAATGCAAGAAAAAACGGCCAGTGTAGCAACAGCCTCAGCATCAGTAGGTCTCAATATAAACAAAGAGAAAAGCAAGACTCTCCGATACAATACAATATGTACCAATCGAATTACACTTGATGGAGAAGATTTGGAAGATGTGAACACCTTTACATATCTGGGCAGCAACATCGATGAAAACGGTGGATCAGATGCAGATGTGAAGGCGGGGATCAGCAAAGCAAGAGCAGCATACTTACAACTGAAAAACATCTGGAACTCAAAACAATTGTCAATCAACACCAAGGTTAGAATTTTCAATACAAATGTGAAGACAGTTCTACTGTATGGGGCGGAGACGTGGAGAACTACGAAAGCCATCATCCAGAAGATACAAGTGTTTATTAACAGTTTTCTCCTCAAAACACTTCGGATCCGATGGCCAAGCACTATTAGCAACAACCTACTGTGGGAGACAACAAACCAGATTTCAGTGGAGGAAGAAATCAGGAGGAAGCGCTGGAAGTGAATAGGACACACTTTGAGGAAAGTACCCAACTGCGTCACAAGACAAGTCTTCACATGGAATGCTGAAGGTCAAAGGAGAAGAGGAATACCAAAGAACACCTTAGGCCGAGAAATGGAAACAGACATAAGAAGAATGAACAAAGGTTGGATCGAACTAGAAAAGAATGCTCAGGATAGAGTTGGTTGGAGAATGCTGGTCGGCGGCCTATGTTCCATTGGGAGTAACAGGCGTAAGTAAGTAAGTAAGTTTGATCTGTGAACAAGATGATTATCATCTGAAGATAAGTGAAATTCCAAGCGTGTTCTTTTACATTCGTTATCTAATAATGTGATGGAACATAAAATACCTTAGACTGGAAACGAAGTAACTCAAACTGATATAGAAATGATGAATGTTTAAGAAGTTGTGGGTGAGTGTATAGTGAGTGTACATCTTGTTATGCAAGCCCACATAGCTTATTCTAGTTTCCGAGCAATCCAATGTATTCATTTGTTAAGTCGGCTTACAGTAAACTCTATCAGAGCCTCCAGAGGCTCATAAAGAGCTCAACCAATCAGCGATTAGTTAGAAGCTATGCTATTAAAATAACGAGGTCCTGATTGGCTGTTTAACATATTGTTACTATGGAATTTCAAGGTCTTTTAAATTACTATAAAACCCCTGTTTTTCTGTACATAAATGAACCTTGTAGTAAAGTGTTTCTCTGGTACTCGTATCTTCTCTCTGGTCTTCAAGTTTGCTGTATAGTTCTAGCTCGGGGATCCGAAACTAGCTTAGGGAAGCAAACATAACTTTCACAAACGGCAGACGTAACATCATTCTTCTTGTGTCACATTTTTGACCTAGTTAATCATTTGCTTATCAACCTTGAGGTTGTTCTGTGGGTGTATGTGTACATTTGTTAACTTACTCATCACATGTCTGTAGCTTATTTTTGTTTTAATCGCTGAAAAATTCTCATTATATTATACATATTTATATGAATGAAGAATATTCTTTTCAATAATTTCTCATCAGGTTCTACACTTATAAATTCAAATTAATAATCCGTATAAAATTGACTAAGTTTAAGGCGGAGTACACCATTTAAAATGGTAACATGTGAATAAAAGAGTGTTTGTAATATAAAATTAAATCGAATCGTTAACGTTCGAGTGAGTAATATTAAGTGTTAACTTGAATCAGTTTTTACCTGAAATGAAATTGTGAGATCAGAATAAATATGGTCAACATGGCGTGGTGTAAGAGAGATAATCATGTAATTACAAATAAGAAATTACGTAATATGTGAAATAATACGAATTAGACAAGAATTAGCAGATAGGGATGGGTGCTGAATAAATTTCTCAAAATGGTTGGCAAGTGTAATAATAATAATGGTGACAATGATAAGAGGAGTCCCATAATAGGACGAAACGGTCGTCCAGTGCTTCCAGGTTTTCGATGGTGGTCTAGCTTCAATTGACTCATGATTTCAACTTTGAAATATACTGAAATCTCCACAAATCCCCTT